TAGCAACATAAGTTTCATTTACATTTCTTTTTTTGAAATACAGTCTTCATTTGTCCATTAAATGGATTTTAGATTCATGAGACTAAATATAAGCTCTATTGTTTTCAATTACCACTTATCTTCTCTGTGTATCTCATTAGATACATGTAGAAACGTGATTTATTTCAAGCCTCAGAGTTTGATTTTATTTCATGAACACAAAGTGACACACACAAAAAAATATTTTACTAATCTTTATTTTTATGTTTTTATTTTAAAATGTATGTTTAAAATGTTATTTTTATTTTGTTTTATTTAATAAATAAATTTTATTTTAATAAAAAAATATTTAATAATCTATTTTTCAAGAACTCTTAATTAAGAAACTAACATTAGAGCAGAAAAATATTGGTATTTTTAACTTAGTTCTTAACTAACATTTAATACTTCAAAAGTTATTAAGAGACTCTAATGGAGCTCTAGGATTAATGATCCGTTTAGTTCTCCCCCATCTGAATCATTACGAAATCAAATTTGAGCACTTTAATATATTTAAGAAAATATTATGCGTAAATTACTTTTCTTTACAAGGTACGATAGATCCACAGTGACCTAAAGGCTAAAGTAAGAAATGTCTGCGTCTTTTATGTTCTATTTTCAATTAAAAATGCATTTAGTGTTACAAAGTGATTCAAATATCACATTGAGTGGTTCAAGTTTAGAATGACTTTCAGTTAAAACCAAAATGAGTCAAATTGTCTATTACTGGACTATCATATAAACTGTCCGGGATGACGTCTAAACATAAACAAGTCAAATGGTATTGTTTCCAACATGAATTGAATCTAAAATAGATAATTCATATTATGTCCCAAATGATCTTACTACTATGCTACTACTACTTGGTTAAAAAGTCTATGTTTTAAAATTCATGTGGTTCGATTAATTTTGACGTAAAGAGCAGCTTTCCCCGTTCTGACCGGTGCATCATACTAATTATGATTATTACATTTTTTAATAGAAAACCTAGTAATCATTTTATAGAAATCAGTGAGTTAAGATAACTTGAGTCTAACAAAGCATAAAGACGCAACATAAAAAACCTAGTAATCATTTAATTTTTTATTATTTTTTTTTTATTATTATTTTTTTCTATTAGCCTCTTTGTGTCCTCTTCTTTGTCTCTTCCCCTGTTTCTCTGCGGCTACTTGACGCAACATGGTTCTGTCTGGTTCAGATCTAGAGCCTAAATTGCTTCAAGGTCAGATCTCGGAGGTAGCAGCTCTTAAGGACGGTGCTCCGCTCTCCATAGCTCTGTTTCTTCGTCGTCAGTTGAGGCTCTGTCCGGATGGGTTTTGTTTTAGCCGTTGTTGTGTTTAGGCTTGAGTGGTAGCGCGTGGTGGTTGTGGGTGCTCGGATCTGTTGCAGGTGTGCTCTTCCGGCTTGGTGTTGCAGCGGTGGAGTCCCTGGAGCCGGAGCCGTGTAAGCTCTGTGAGTTTGCGGATCTAGGGCTCTCTTCCCCTATTCTTGCTGGTGGTCTCTGGCGAACGTGCGTGAGCTCTTCGGAGGTGGGTCTCTCCTCTTCCGGCGTGTTCTGGTGGCAACGCGCGTAGGACGTGGCGGCGCGTGTGTGGCGGCACGTGTAATGGCGAGCTTATTTGTTTCTCTGCTCCATTGTGAGCGGTTGTTCCGGTGTTTTATGGAGGTTGTCTCCTCGCTTCATCCTGGTTCCCCTTGTGTCTGCCTCTCTTTAATAAGGTAAGTGATGTGGTGATTCTCGCCTTTGGTGGTGTTGACCTTGTCCAACGTTCTGTGCGGTAATGAGACAATCGAACGGTCATTTCTCTTGTGATGTGGTCTTTGGAGGGTTAGTCTCTTGCGATCCACTCTCTCTATATGTGATTGCGGTTAATGGGTGTAGACGGTCACGGTAGGTGGGGCTGGAGGCGGCATTCTCCATGTTTCCCTTCCGAACGACGGCATCGTCGCTGGTGGTTCTCTCTCGTGCCGTCAAAGGTCATTGCTGTCGAGTGTTTATGATTTGTTCGTGCTCGGATTCTCTCGTGCCGTCAAAGCCGTTGTTTCAATGTTTGAGGGCGCCTTTCTCTCGGTAGCTCGTGGTGCCTGACTCCCATCCTTGACTAGCTCCGTTTGCTTTGGTCCGTGCTTGTTTTCGTTGCTCAGCTGTTTCTAGGTTTGGTTCTGCTCCTGTTGCGGGTTGATACTTTTGTCACATTAGATTTCGATGTTTAGTTTAAATTCTGCAATATGCTACTAGTTACCTTTGTAATTTCTGTCACAAACTTGAAAAGTTGGTATAATATTTAACATTTTACCCAAAAAAAAAACAAAAAAAAACAAACAAAGCATAAAGACACATGTTCAACATAAACAAGTCAAGTGGTATTGTTTCCGACATGAATTGAATCTAAAATAGATAATTCATATCATGTCCCAAATGATCTTACTACTATGCTACCCCTACTTGGTTAAAAAGTCTATGTTTTAAAATTCATTTGGTTTGATTAATTTTGTCGTAAATACTAATTATGATTATTACATTTTTTTAATAAAAAACCTAGTAATCATTTTATAGAAATCATTGAGTTAAGATAACTTGAATCTAACAAAGCATAAAGACACATGTTCAACAGAACTTGAACATTATTTCAATTTCAAAGAGGTTTTTTTTTTCCTTCTTAGCCACTGGTCGTAGCCGCTGCACTATTCTTGTTGTAATCTTCCAGCTCCTTCTTGTATGCTTCCATCAGCTTTGCTGCTTTGTTGTTGTAACTTTGCTTCTCTTCTTCACCCAATTCCTTCCATTTCACAGAGATTTAAGTATGTTTAATCCAGTTATATAGCTATGATGCCGGTTATTAATCCACATTAAAAATGATGAGTTTAATATGCACAGTCTCTTTAGAGTCTAGCTTAGATATTCTTGCATAGACAGTTTCGGCCTTTTCCAAAAAATGAAATGATCGTCCATAACAAAATAACCACTAACAACCTGATTATCTTCAGAATTTTTGAAAAATTTATTTCTTTTGAAACCAACCAACCATGATCCACACATCATTGATCCCTTTATCTCATTCAAATACGATAAATAATAAGATGTGGATTAAAAATGGCTATGACGTGAATAAGTGAATAAATGCCCATTATTATAAGCTATGTTCAAAAATGCAGCGTCTAGGGCTGTTTACTCGCCGGAAAATCGCTCGCCAGTCTCTGACTGCTGCGATTTGGTTCTAATCAGACAAAAACTTGATGTTCTTAAAAAACTCAAGATTTTGTTCATTTTCATATGAAAATTAAGATTCCCTAGAAGATCTGTCAATTTTAGTTAAAAATGCAGAAAAAGTGGAAGAAAACAATGAAGAAAACAAAAAAATGAGGCAGCCATTGTTAGGATTTAGATCAGATACATGAAAGAGAAGATGATTTCGAAATGTCTATGTTACCATTCATTAATGTTTTAATATTAAAAGTCAAAATATTAACATTGTCGATGCTAGAATCCGGGCTCTTTATAAGATAAAATGTGTGCTAACCACTGAATTATCAGTCTTTTGTTCATTCTTAAAGTAAATAATATATATATGTATAATAACTATATAAAAGGCTAAACTATACCTCGATTAATCTTTGATTTTTTTTGTTAGGTTTTAGGCCCAATCCAACCGTCCGACTAGCGCCTAGCGTAATTTTGAACATAGATTATAAGTGAATAAATGTATAGAATATGATATTAGCACGACGTGGAACTAGAGTAACAAAATCAATAGAGAGGACCCACGCGGTTCTTTTGATTTTTGCGGTTCATGTCATTTTCATTCTCGACAAACTCTTCAAAAGGAACTCCTCTCGGCTTCGCAGAAACTTCCTTATTTTTTTCACAAGTTATACGTTGTTGTATATATTGTATTATTCATATCCAAAAGGCTTTGTTCTAAAACTGTTTTACTTTCAACTGTTCTAATACGCATACTAGTCATTAGACATTAAATGCAAACGCGTTTTGATTTGTGATATAAGTTGTGAAATTTTGAATGGTTATCGTAAAATAACCAAGGATAAGCGTGGTCCATAGATGCTGATTTCGCAAATAGTAATCAATCATGACTATCGTTTAACTTGCACACAAAAAGGCATGTGCATGAGGGCATCTAGATGCCACTTCTCGTGGCAATTACTTATTTAAACTTAATCTCTATCTTAGATTACTAATAAGATTCTACAGTTAAAATACCATAATTAATTAAGCTTCACCAGTACTGACTAGCCGCACCTAATAAGTACTCGGTTAACAACAGTCCAACTAAAAATAAGTAGATTTTATAAGTTATAACCTCTATATAACTACACGACTATATTAGCATTTATAATGTAATTTTTAAAAGTTTTAACTGTGATGTACTATTTCGTTGTGCAATATAAATATAGAATGACACAAATCAAAATTAAAGGTCAATGGTATAAAACGATTCTAGATCACATACACCATTGTCAAAACATCATGATTTCTACGTTTATCATATCACTTTACCCCCAATTATATGCGACATATGTCACTGTCCATCGTGTGAACGAGAACGCCCCGATAGATGACTCTAAAACTCTTCATAAACTTGTAGGGTACAAGAATATATATGTAACCCCAAAAATACCTATGTACGTGAAGTATTTTTTTCTGGAAAAAAACGACGAACTTCTTTGAAACATAGAAATAATGAAATTACAGTGAGGTTTTTTTTTCTTAAAAAAAAATCGGTATAGGATCTATCTACAAACAGGTTTGAAAGAGTCGTCATATTAGCAAGAAAAAAGATATATGTTAAAACAGAATTCCATGTCATTTTCGTAAGTTTCTCTCAAACATCCTTCTCTTTTCCCCACAACTTCTTTCCTAAGTATTATATGAAATAAAATAAAAGAAAAACATAACAAAAATCACAGATGCACCACCATATATATATATGTGTATGTAACTTCATTTCATAAACATAAACACACACGCACACACACACACACTCTTATTCAAACACAAAGCCCATATCTCATCAAACCCACAAAGTTCTGATATAACGAAGGAAGAGATGTTGATGGAAGAAAAGCTTGTGGTTAAGGAGCTGGAGCAAGGGAAAGAGTTAACGAATCAGCTAACGAACAGTTTGAATAACCCTTCCTCGTCTTCTAAGGATTCAAACGAGGTTTTGATCTCAGAGATCATCCATTGTTTCGAAAACACTATAGCTATGATGATGAGTCTTGACAAGAAAACTCTTAAGAGAAGCCATGAGAGAAGTGATCAAAGTAACAAGAAGAGGTATGAAAGAGATTACTCAAGTTTGTGTGTTTATGAGTTTTTTAAATTTGAATTTCATGACATTTTGTCTAATTCTGTTGATTTCTTGATCATCAGGAGAATGTTGGAGAAGAATAAGATGGAAAAAGTTAAGATTTGTGTTGGAACAGGACCAGAAGGAACTCCACTTGATGATGGTTATTGCTGGAGAAAATATGGTCAGAAAGATATTCATGGATCCAAAAACCCTAGGTAAGTTAAATAATTATAATCATCTTAAGAGCATTATATATATTAATCATTACAAGGATTTCAGTTTTAAAGTTTTCCTCTGTTTTGTCAATACAGAGGATACTATAGATGTACACATCGCTTCACAAGAGGTTGCTTGGCGGTGAAGCAAGTTCAAAAGTCAGACATAAACCCTTTGTGCTATGAAGTCAAGTATCTAGAGAGTCACACATGTGATATCACTCCATCAACAACCAAACACTCTGTTTCGGTGCCCCAAGAAGAAGAAAGAAAGCTACATGATGCAAAGCAATCCGAAGACACGATCAAACACATGAAACATGAAGAGTTGATGTTAAGTATCGAAGATCTTGATTACAAGAAGGAGATTTTCAGGACGTTTTCATTCTCAAACCCTGAGACAGATGATTTCTTGGAATGGAAAGATCTGATGGAGAATTTCTCTCCTACAACATCCGAATCTGGAACCACCAACGAGTTTCATGTTTCGCCAACGGATGATTCATGTTTCTCTTCTTTAGAAAACATTCTCGGTTCAGCTCACGATTTGTCGTGGATGTAATGAATACTTCTTATCGTGTCGAACGTTTAGTTTTAGTCCTAGTTTTCAAGTGGACGAACATGATTCTTCCTATGTTTCTTAAGACCAGTGTGATACTTAGACAAAACATCACACAATAATCTATGTGATATCATGAGACGTTTACTATTCCAACATAAACATACATACATGGGATAATCCAAGTCCCTTATGGTCAAGTTTAGTACCTGACATCAACAAAGACAAAAGACAACATTTGTCATCTTATCTCACAAAACAGTCAAAACTGACACTTTTTTTGAACTGGCTTTCAGATCAAAACTGACACTTGGTGTCATGTTCTTTCAAAAAGTATACATTCATTCTCTAGGAATGTTATCAAGATTACGACAAATCATTCTAGAACCAACAACAGACAACAAGTGCCTAATGTCCATAGTTTCATGAAACTTCCATTGTGCCCTTTGTTCTGGAATCTTTCTTCAGAACACAAACGGGTCATTTAAGAACAAAGAACAAACATCAACTTTAAATTTAGCATAAATGTCCATATTTCATATCAACTAATTAACTTTTATATTGCCTTTAAATGTGATAGGCCTGACTGGTTTCTCTGCAAACACATCTTTTGCGGTTGATAGCGGTTGTTGGCGTTTTGAAACAATCACTCAAACTGCTATGAACTGCTTCAAATAGCTTTAAATATCTGAAATTCAAAAACTGGTTTCAACTAGCGTTTGCGATTGCGCACAGTTGCGAGATGGTGATTTTTTTTCTTTTTTTTTAAAACACAATATAAATACAAAAATAAAAATATTCAATAAAAGTTTTAAACTGAAATTATAAAAAAAGAAAAATATATATATATATTGAATTAATATTATTAAAAAATAAAAAAAATATTTTCAATAATTTTAAAAATTTTAAATTTACTTTTATAAGTATAATTTATATACTTATTATGCTTTTTGGTATTTTTTATAATTATACAAAATGTAAATATTGTTAATTTATATTGTAATCGCACGTACAAATCTCTTAAAACCACAAGAAATCGCAACTACCCGCATCCGTAAACTCCCACAACCGTAACCGCAACCACTGCGTTTGAACCCGTCAATCATTTAATTCAGTTATATTACAGATTATTATCAGCCAAGCTTATTATTTTATTAACCAGCTAATAAAATATTTAAAAATGGAATAAATATTTTTCTTGTAATAATTTTTTAACCATTTGTATTCAGAATTATAATTTATTGAACGCCAAATGTAGAATAGACATACAATGGTGAAAACGAGGTACTCACACTCACTCTGTTTTATGTTAAGATTTTTACACATCGACTAGAGCTCAACTGGTTTTCTCGCTACCACTCGCAAATGCAGCTTGTGCGGTTAATATCGATTAGTAGTGTTTTACAACAATCACAAAATTCGCTACAAAGCACTACAACCCGCTCCAAACCTCTTAAAATTAAAAACTAGTTCCAACTAGAGTTTGCGGTTGCGAACGGTTGCAGGTGGATAAAAAATAAAAAAATAATTCTTCAAAAATATTTTAAAACTTAAATTAAGATTGAAAATATATAAATAAAATTATATATAGTTTAATTTAAATTCACTAAAAATCTCCTAAATTATTTTATAAAAAAAATAAACTTAGAATATACAATATATTTTAAACATTAATGTATATACTTTTTTGAACAACATATTCATATATATAAAGATATCCTTGTAAATTAATTGAGAAGTATTACAACATGTTTTGGTAGCCACATGTCATCATGAGAATACTTAACAAATTTACTAGAGAGAAAAATTGGTCCATATAAATATATAATAGACTTTTTATTAAACTAAGCATAAAAATATTATTAATGCTATACATTATTTTCTAAATAAAATTTACGGAATTACCTATTATGGTTATAATATATATATATATATATATATATATATATATATATGAAAATTAATGATTTGAATAAGAAAGATTTGATAGAAAATTGTATAGCATCTACTCTTTTTGTTAAATTTATATTATTAAAATCAATTAAAAAATAACATAAAATATAAAACAAAACAAATTTAGATGTTTTTAATGGCAAACTTTGAATTTAATTTTTTTAAATGATGAAGAATTTCTAAATATTAAATCACTCACATTAAAAATGATGTTATCAATGGTTTAAATATTTTTTTCTAAAATATACAAATGATCATAAAACCATGTAAGTGTGAAGAAGATAGCCAAATTAAAATTATAATATATATATATACATGTTAATATCATTTATTAATTAAATTTATTATATAAAATGATTATAATAAACAAATATGATTCTTTTATTTAAATGCTCGCGCTATATTAATTATATATATAATAGTTACAGATTTTTTAATTATTCAATATATATTTATTATTTTATAATATATAAAAGAACACAAACTAAAGAATAAAAAATAAATTAATTTATCTATATAATTTTATCCCGCGCAAATGCGCGAGTATTAACCTAGTATACATATATTATTGAAACACAATATATTTAAAAAAAATTCTATTAAAAATATTAAGTATATTTATTAAAATTTTAATTTCTTCTAAATTAAAAATAAATAAAAATTACATTATTATTAATTACATTAAATTAATTTTTTTTAATAATAAATGATTATGTTTTATAATGTTGTAATATTAATAATTTATTACTAAACCGCGGCAGTATATCATAATTAACCAGTCATAAATATTCCGCAAATGCACCAGTTTGTAACCGCTCAACTAGTCGTACAAATCACTTAATAACACAAGAAAACATAGCCATCCACATCTGCAAACTCACGCGACTGCAACTGCAACCACTGCGTTTGAATCAGCCAGGCCCTAAAAGATTATTAAATTTTTTTTGTTTCGTATTATACACATAAAACCAACCCTAACAATATCTAACCAACTAATCAAAGATTATATTGTACTAAGGGTTCTCCAGCGCTACACGCCGGTTTTGCTAACAAATATATAGTTTGGCTAAACTTTTATAATCTAAAAGATTTTTCAACAATATTGTAGAAAACAAAATATTTATCAATCATATGGAGATATGTTAATTTGATCGTCGTATCTACATAATTATTATAAATAAATTTCAGTTTAAATATATGCATGCCAATTTAAAAGTGTAATAGTTGAACTGTTTATTATTTAATTGAAAATTATTAATTTTAATGGATTAGAAAACATGTTTAGCAATGCTCATGTTCCACTCTGTAGAATCATCATCCTCTGATTCATCACTTTCTCTCTTAACATGCACAAAAAAAGGTAGAAAAGAGAGCTTGTTGTTTTGGTACCTCAGTTTGCTGAGAAAATGAAGTATTTTGAACAGAAAGGATCTCATCATCTCTCTCGATCTTTCTCGTACTTGAATACTCGTTTAGATATCTCTGCATAATCAAAATATATGGTTTGGTAGATGCTAACATGCAAACTTTCATGATCATATTTAGACATTTTATCTAAAGATTTGCAGTCTCTTCCCTATTGCTTGGAAAACACTGAGACAAAAATATACTAAAAATTTAGAGAAACAATTACTTGGATTAATTATAAAATGTCTTTTAGATAGAATAAGAAGACATAAATGAAAACAAAATTCGGGACCAAAATTTAAAAAACCCAGAGTTTGATTTACAGTATTTGTTTTATTTGTTTTTAATTCCTCAACTTTCTTTTTACAGTATTTATTTTACAATATTGCTTTAGTTCTTAATTTGTAAGGTTTTTTGAGGGTTTAAACTTAGAGGGTCCTTTTTGTGAACCATGTAGTTGTATATTTGATGTAAAAATCAAAGTCTCTTTATCGCTTCTCATCCAAGTAAAATCATTAACCTTGGGAGCTCAGATCTCTTATGTACAGCTCAAGCCATGTATCATATAGCGTTTTAGGATGAGAAGCGATAAAGAGACTTTGATTTTTACATCAAATATACAACTACATGGTTCACAAAAAGACCCTCTAAGTTTAAACCCTAAAAAACTTATAAGTTTAGAACTAAAGCAATATTGTAAAATAAATACTGTAAAAAGAAAGTTGATGAATTATTGAACTCAATACATTATCTCATGCTCAAAATTTTCAAATCCATATTGATCGTTGTATGCGTGACGTCATTCTTGGTCAGCGACACAACTCGAGATTCCGTGAAACAATGCGGATGTGGATAGCATATGAATAGGAATTTGTCTTGTCATACTCTCTATCCTAGGCTTTCCTCTGTTTCTATCTGTTTTGCAAGAGCAAATCCTCTGTCTTTCTATTTTTTTGTAATCTCTTAGAAACCAGCTTCAGAAATTGTAAGGTTTCCGAGCAAAAGTACATTTTCATGAACCTGAAACCTTGAAATTGTATAATTTTACACCGCAAATTGCAAATTGGTTTTTGCGTGTGGTACATGAATTTTAATATTTCAAAAGTTGCACTGTATTTATTTTGTATGTGAATTGGATGATAGGTGTAAGTTATGTTTATTGTGTTTTTATTTTCCACTCACATATAGAACCAATACATTGGATATGGTTTTAAAACTTAACACGGACTGAAACAAAACTTATTTACATTAGTAAAATAGAAATCATGATTTATTTAATGTGTGATATTTCATTTGTACCATTCTTAGAAAATTTATTAAATTTTACATAATTAAATTATAATAGTTTCCAATATCTTTTATTTTAAAAAGAATATTTTTAAACAATCTATCTATACTATTAAAATCGAAATCATAACTTATTTCTTTGTAATCTTTTATTTGGACTTTAAAAATTTTATCAAATTTTACATAAATTGATTATAAATCTGAAATAATAAATTAACATTCGGCCATTCCTCAATCTTAAGTTAGTAATGTTGTCCTGGATTGCAGTCTATAGTTGTCTCTCTACAGGCAACATAATGTTTAGCTGGAACTCTAATGTAGACACAAATGTGTGTTATGTCACTGTCATGTTGAAACCAGAGACCATCTATTCTTCTCATGTTCATTCACAGAGGAGATTTGGAAAGACCTAACTTCAGAGATGCTGGGCACGAGGTATACACAAGATTGGAGTATTATTCTAGAGTTAGTCGTGGGATTCTCAAAGGATAAAACTTTTACCATCTTACTTTGTTATGTGTTTCAGTCAGCTGTATACGCCATCTGGTGGGACAGAAACATGAGGCGTCATGGAGAGACAAGCATGGGCCCATTGCAAATTCAAAAATCATTGATAAATCTGTTCGAAATCGCATATCATCTCTTGGCGGAAAAGGTAGAAGAATTTATGGAAATGCTATGGTGGTGTGGTGCGGTTTGAGAAGATCTTAGAGACAAAGACTGAGCTCTTTTTTTTTTCATTGTTGCTCTGTTTTACCCAGGGGCGGATCTAGAAAAACATATAACATGTGGCACAATATATAAATATTAAATATATTTTAATAAATTAAATTAAAATTTATTCTTTCAAAAATTACATCAATATTCAAAAATTTGCATTAATTCTTAAAAAAATATCTCTTATTTATAAAAATAAAAATAAAATAAATAAACATATTTAATAAGGTAATATTCAGTTAAAGAAATTTTAATAAATAGTATACCGCACATAATATTTCGGTATAAAATAGCTATTTCTGTTTAGTCTAATTGCTAAAAACAATTTTAGTTAAGATAATTATTTGAGTAAAATTTTAATAAATTTTATATCTTTGAAGAAACAAATACTAAATAAAAGAACAGAAAAAATAATAGTCTAGGTAACACGAAACAAAGCTAATATGGAAAAATATTTTGTGACAAAGTTATTAAAATGTTTTTAAAAGTTAAACGAATAAAAAAAAGGTAAAAAAAAAGTTTAGGTGACATAAAAATGAAGGGAAGAATATTTTTGTGACAATGTGAATAAAAATGTTTTATTTTGGCTAATCATTGAAAACAAACTTAATAAAATAATTGTTTGAGTAAATTTAAATAGATTATATATTTTAAAGAAACTAATACTAAAGAAAAGAAAAACAACTACAAAAAGAAGAAATATTAGGTACCACAAAACCAAAAGGTAAAAAGGAATTTTTTTGTAAGTGATTAAAAGTGTTTTAAAAATAGATAGGAAAAGAGTGTTTGAGATGAGATTCGAACTGGGTAAGAGTGGGATGCAATATAAATGCGTCAGCCGGCAGAGCTAATGCGGTTGTTAACTATATGTTTACACCAATGTACTTTATTCTCGAACATGTGGCACGTGCCACACCCTTTCTAGGCGTGGGTCCGCCCCTGGTTTTACCTTAAAACACTGTAAACACATAACACTCTCAACAAAGAGACAGTTACTGTACACATGCTTTTTTGGATTGAATAAATTCTTACATTCAAAAAAAAAAAATTAACATGTAACAATAACCTAATTTAAGAAATGCTGACAAAATCATGAACCTTGGAAGCTCAGATCTCTTCGTACTTTCAAGCTCAGATCCACCTGATAATAGTAAAATCAGACAAGTTGTGTCTCCTTTGGACTCATGGTTTCCTAGAAATTAATGAAGGTGAAGAAAATGGGGCTATCAATTATGGTTTGAGTAAAGGAAAGTAAAGAATGTTTGAAAAATAAATCTGGAATCGAAAATAGGATAGAAGAAAGAGAGAGAGAATAAAGAAACATAATTGTATTTTTAATTGTTTTTTTATTTTTGTCTGATTGTGTGGACAATATCGTTTAGTTGAGATTAGTTAATAAAAGTTAGAAATGTATAGTTGTGATATAGTTGAGAGTAAAAAGGGCAAATTGTATAGAGAAAGTGTGTGACATGTGAAAAGTGTCTTGAAGTGTAATTGCAAAGTGAGAATGTGTCCTATGAGGTAAATTTTTCACTAAGAAAACATTAAGAAAAACAGAGAGTCAAAAACCTGAAATTCCATTAGCATCAGAGATTTTTGACGCCATTGATGAAGATTCTTTCTTCTCGTTGATCTCAAGTAACGTTCCTCCTCCTATACCTTGCATAACCCATTTATACTCAAGAACTTCAAACGGTTATCTACAGTGATTTAATTGAGAAAAATGAGATAAGTAATGGATTCAAAGTAAAAGCTGAGATTAAGGGAGATGAAACGTAAAAACGGAAGACTTTACAGAGCAGGTGGACGGAGTGTTTAGGAGATGGACATGACCTGAGCTTGTTCGTGATGTAACAGAAAAAAAATCTAATAGCAGATTGTCCACAAGATTTTTTCTAGAGTATCCCAATACATAAAGAAAGAATAAGAGCCCAAATAACAATAAATATATAATATTTTTGGACGAAAATATATAGGACAATTGGTAATCATTGCCCCCATAGAAAAAAAAGCCTCTTTTATTTATAAAGATAACATGAAAGGTTATAACTTATAAGCATTAAATAATATTAAAATTTTGCATATGAAATAAAAAAACAGTCAAAAATATTTTTAAAACATTATTTCACATGCGAAATATTGTAACAGGCCGTGAGAATACAAAACATGCCAACTAAAAGCCCAGTATGACTTGTGAACAAACAGTCAGCGTAGGTTAGCAGTTGATGGAGACTGAAGTGTTGTTATCTTTGCTTCATCACTCCTAATGTCTTCTTACCGAACCGCCTGACTCTGTTTTCCTAGTTAATTAATAATTATCTTTGCGTCATCACGCGACTCGACTTTTTTAAAAAAGGAATCCGCGCCAGAGCTAATTTTGTAATCATCATCTTCTGCTCCAGTCTCTCGGAACCCTAGTTTTCTCCCTAACAAACATGCCTCGGGAGATAATAACGCTGCAAGTGGGACAATGCGGGAACCAGATCGGGATGGAGTTCTGGAAACAGCTCTGCCTCGAGCACGACATCAGTAAAGCTGATGGAAGTGACAGTCTTGAGGGTTTTTTTCTTTGCCACTCCATTGCTGGGGGCACTGGCTCAGGTTTTCCACCACCTCTTATCTTATTCTCTTTAGATTATTAAGATATCATTATCAATTTGTTTCGGTTTATGAAGATAGCACTTGACTTACTTTACATTCTTTTCATCAAAAACTCCAGAATATATTTCATTTTATTATTATTTTAATAAAACAATATAAAGAGGGGAGAAAGAGAGAATCTCTCACATGCTCATGGCCCTCCTCACTGCTTACGTAGCTAAGCCCGAATATTATTTGAGATATTACATTAAGGGCATCAGTTAAACTCCGATACAACCTAAATAAATTTGTTTAATTTCAGGAAAAAGTTCGCAAATGGGTCATTGAAAAGAACCCGAGTTTGTGGGGTCATTGGTTGACTTTCAAGATCAACTGAGCTGTAACGACTTTGTAAATAAGGCTTACAAATATCGTTTTTAAAATTTTACTGGTGTCAGCTAACTCTCACATCTCTAAATGTGGATACGCCCCTGATGCATACGCGTCCAGAATGTATACGCGTACCGAGAGATTGAAACTGAAGTCTAGTTGAGATAAATGAGAGGATTAGACATATACTGAACGCGTAATTGTCTGACTTAGAACGTACTTCATCTTACTGATTAAATTAAAAAATAATAATAGAGTGTGTGTGTCAAATGTTATAGAATGACGTGTTAATTTTGGATAGTGGAAAATCTTTTCAGTTTCATTATTATTTAATTTATTCTGTGTAAATGTGTTCCACTTGCATATTTTTCTAGAAAATACTAAAATTCCAAGGTTGACGAGACAAAAGAAAGGAACCATCGAGGAAGGGTCCAGTCAACGGAGAAAAAACTGCAACTTTAAAACGACAGGTGTTCGTAGATTTAATTGAAAGAATCCCCGAGTGATTACTGGCTACAGCCGGTAACCGTCAGCCTGTATTGTCCTATAAAAACGCGTCAGCCTTTAAGCCTGCCTTCAAACTTTCAAAGGCTTCTCTTTCCCGTCTCTCTCGTCAGGCAGCTTTTACAAAAAGCTCTATCTCGATCAATTTCGCCCTAACGCAGCCGGGAAATATCCAGAAATATGACGTTGGGGAATTCCATTTCCGTTCTCGCCTTGACCATTTTCGCCGTCGTTTCTCCTTTTGCCGGTGCTCAACCCCTAGCTCCTGCCCCTTCTCCCACAAGCGACGGTAATTTCACGCCTAGATTTTAATGTCAAAAAATTACTCTTAGATTCTTGGAAACACACAATGTCGTCGCTTTTTGTTTTCAACCGTACTATATCTGGTGAATTTAAAATTGAAATTATCTGTTTGATGAACAGGAACATCAATCGATCAAGGAATAGCTTATTTGCTAATGGTGGTGGCGTTGGTGCTGACGTATATCATTCATCCCCTGGATGCATCATCTTCTTTCTTCTGATACTCTCTGTATAATCAAATCTTAGAGTTCTAATTTGACAGTAATGAGTTTATAGTTTTATTATTAACCTTTCTTTGATAATTTGTTTATTGTACATGTACTCCTTTAGTTATGATTAATAAATATTCATTTATTATTTCTTTGTTATTATAAAAAGCATTCCAAAATGCTTTTATTTGTGCTCATCAAGTATTCTTTTGTTATTCTGTATGTAATTTCGTTTTTATTTTCCACCATTTCTTTCCACCATATCCCCTATATATTAACTCTGGAACATTACAATGTTTTTAGTAGCCTCATATCACAAAGAGAATGATTTTCTGAACTTTTAGAAAAATATATTGTTCCAACTAAACATATATTATATTTTTATTAAATTAATTTTATCAAATTTAATTAGTAGTGTACAAAAAATATTCTTTATTATTTCTTTAAATAAAAGCTATGAAATTATCTAATATGATTAACATATATATATCACAATTAATGATTATGAATAATACATATTGATAACAATTTTTGTATCTTTTCTCATTCTTTTAATTTTATATTATCAAAAGAAATTAAACAATTACATTTATCATATAACAAAAATTAGATTTTTTCTTATATCTTCTATTTTTAAAATTTTAAAACGACCATAAACTACTAAAAATGGTAAGAATCTCACATTGAAAATATTGTGATCAATGGTAAAGTCTTTCAGTTCAACCAATCGTCTTTTTAATAGGCCTTAAACAATTTTTAATAATTAACTAAATGGACCACGTACATAATAGAGTGTGTTTTGGTTTAAAAATTGTTGCATACCCAAAATCAATATGAACCATCATCTCTTTCGTTTAAAATTTGGTTACAATAAAAGATATAGGGTTGGCAAAAAATCCGAATCCAAATAACCGAACTAAATCTAATCCAAAAAGTAGTACATAATTTTAACCAAAATTGGTTAGATATCCAAAAGTATTCAAAAATTTTGGTATCATGAGAACCGAAACTGAATCAAAGTATTTCAGATATCCCAGTATACTCGAACCAGATTTATATACTTAAATATATTAATTGTTTTTAAATTTAACATCTAAGAATATACAAAATACATGAGATATTTTTAAATTTTCAAAAATACTTAGAAATATATAATTAGTTAGAAGTACATTTTTAAATAGCTAAAGGATACTCTAAATACCAAAATATTTGAAATATTTATTGATTTTTTGTCCAAATATTTAAGATAAACCAATTTATGTTACATTTATGTATTTGGCTCATATTTTTTTCAAGATTATATGTTATATTTTATTTTTATTTTTAGATTTTTAGAAATTTAAAGTATATATGATTTTTAATCTTTAACAAAATAAATAAATGGGTTATCCGAACCTAAACCCAAACCGAAGCTGAAAAGTTTTGAACCAAACCGCAAAGATCTAAACCAAACAGAACTTAACCAAATTAAATGGTATACGAATGCTCATCCCTAATCAAATGTAAAAAAAATTATTGATAACAAAACATGTATATTTAAATAGAATGTATTTTAAAAAGAACTCACTCCGCATATAGCGCGGATTATCATCTAGTTTATTTATTACTATCGATACTTTCGTTTTTAACAAATATTAGTTTTCACCTTTTGTTTTGTTACAATCCCATAATTTTAGTTAGGATCTTTGTAAAATTTGCATGCTACCAGTTTTATAGCTTGATTTGTTTTATTCTAGCTAGAGTTCTTCATATAGTTTCAGGTTCTGCAAATGACCTCTATAGTTTTCAGTTCTTAAATATATTCCCCATATGTTTAGCATAACCCATAAATGTGTGTATTACCAAAACTCTTATTGTTATTAGTGCTATTCGTTTGCCAGATGCAGCTATGTGCTGCTGCGTCTATTTCTTTTTAAAAGCTTGTTCGTTTCATTGACGCAGTTATTGTGTCGATAAAATTTGAATGCCAAAAAAAACAGTGGTTGCGATAAAAAAAAATCTGCGTTCAAAGGTTTTGTTTTAGACGTTTGCTCTTAATGTATTTCATTATTTACGAAAACACCTAACCATAATTCCTATATTAAACGCAGCACTCTCTCCTTTGACGCAGCTCTTCTCCATCGATGCAGCCTATTATTTTTTTTGTAAACACCATCAACAAAGATTAGACAATTCTGGTTATTCCAACAGATCATAATCTTACCAACATATTCAGGGTTTCAAAGCTAACAATAATTTGTTTTCCAAAAGAGAAAAAAAAAGAAAGATTGTATTCTCTTTTCAAAAATTGTCACTATTATTTACCACTGCTACTGAATTATGTTTCATACATATATATTATCATGACAGCGATGACACAAACATAGAGATAACATTTCCGCACAAAGCGCGTACTAACCACTAGATGTCTATGGCCTGAAAGGCAGCTAAGGTCTTGTAGTCGTTTTCCTTGAGTGGTTCAACAAAGATGTTGTCTCCACTCAAAACCATCATATTGCGAGGATGACGATTCTCATGCTTTCTCCTAAACTTCTTTATCTCCTTTATGGTTGCATGGCCAACCAGCGTCTTTTAATTCAAGTCGATCTGCAGCAACTGAAACTCTTAAATCAGTAAAAGTTTTTCAAAAGATGAGGAGGTGAGAAACTACTTACACAATCCCAAGTCCACACTTCTGATATTTTCTGACAGCTTTGAAAGCATATCTAAAGGTAGGTGCTATGTCGTCTTGGCAATAGTGATGGTGAGTAGTCCCGTGTAGTTGCGTTGTTCCAACCCGCACTTGATCCTTTGGTCATCGATTCCAGTTGCTGCAGATCGACTTGAACTAAAAGATGCTGCTGATCATGCAATCATAAAGGAGATAAGGAAGTTTATGAGAAAGCATGAATTTTTTTTCCTTCTCACAACGTGATAGTTTTGAGTGGAGACAACATCTTTTTTGAACCACTCGAGGAAAATGCTACATGACCTTAACTGCCTTCAGGCAAGAGACATCTAGAGGGAGGAGGCCAATACCCAAGTTGTTTTGCTTTTGTATTACCATCCGTTGAAACTCTGCAGGAGAAATAACTTGATAATTTGTTTATGTTTTCATGTTTCTGGACAGATAAAGAGGATGAAGAGAGATTCATAGTGATGAATGAGAAGCTAAACTCTCACAACTTTTCTCAGATCTAAAGGCCTCTTCCTTGCAGTAGTGACTCAAGTTGTCATCATGCACCACTTTTCAAAATATTGATTTACTTAGTTAGTTTTAAGTTAAGAAACAATTGAAGTGTTTTCGTTCAGGATGGCATCTTATGTGTTTTAAAACTTCGGATTTCACATGAAACACTTACATAATACTATTCTTCAAAAAGGTGGACGCATGTAAGAGAGAAAGAATATATGTATCTATGAGTGTCTATCCAGTTTTTCTTAAATCCGTAAATGTAATGTTCGGGGAAGAAGAGATGGAATTCTATAAAATTCATTCAAATGTATCCATGTTCAAACTCTTTTTTTTTTTATCTTCGCACACTCAAATTTATCCATGTTCAAACATTTTCTGATTCATTTGAGATGTAAAGATGTTCAATTCAGCAACGACCTTGAACCAAAATCAGTTTCATCTTTGTTCTTATAAACAAATAAATATCCGTGTAGATACACCGATCAAATTCTAGTATTAATTATTATATATACTAGGCCATTTACCGCGCTACGCGAGGTTACATTTTTTTTTTTTCTATTTTCTTCACATTTATCATTAGATGAATTGTTTTATTTGAGTGTGTATTTTTATACGTCTTACTGGTTAAGTATTTTTCATTGTTCTTGTTTTATTTTTTCTAATAAATTTGGAGTATGAGTTGTTAATTATATATTCTGCAGCACCACATGATATTTTGATATTACGAAATAGATTTACAATTCTTTAAACTGAAAAATGAGTACTATGAATAACAAATTAAATGTGAGGAATTTGTTTGATCATTTTTTTTATCTTCGTCGTTAATTTCTGTTGACCTCATACGTTGTATGATGTACATTCTTCTGTATTTTAATTATTTGTTAATTTTTATTTCATACTTTGGGTATAAAGAGTTGTTAAAGTAAAATATTTTTAATGATATTACGGCGAGCACTAAATTTCTACATTATTTTCAGTTAGTTTTTAAAATATATCATATATAGTTAATTAATATGAATTATTAGTTTTATATATTTTACGATTATTGTTTGTTATAAACATGATTTTCATTTCCACTTTTATACATTCAGTAATTTTATTAAAGTATCTATTTTTAATCATATATAGTTAACCACACAAATGTGAAAACCTATAGTAAAATTTACTTATTAAACTTTTATTTTTCTTTGCATATTTTCTGTTGTGTATCTATTGTGTCCTACTTTTATTTTTTCTTCTCGATTTTGAGATTTATTCCTTGATACTTGTTTTAAGTTAATATGTATTCAATTTTTTCTTCTAAATGTTTAATTATATTCCCTTTTTTATTATTAGCATTTACAGTATTTTTAGTGTTCTCTCCAAAATTATAAAATTTTGTATATTTCTTCTATAGTTATATTATATTTATGTATATATTAAATGTTTGTATATTTTCTTTAATATTTTTTGTTTTTATTTTTATATCTTATCATTTATTAAATTTTATTTAATAATTTATCACTTTCACTCAGTTTTATATATGTGTTGATGTTGATCTTAGGATATTATATTTATGTATATATTTATAATTTATCACTTTCACTCAGTTTTATATATGTGGTGTAGTAACACAGAAATGTTTCATTTTAAATGCTGAACATTTCCATAGATCTAAGATATCCTAAGATTAATTAAAACAATGTAGAAGAGATTATCTTCTTAAAGTGTGGATAGCAAAACAATATTAATATTATGTTAGTGATTTTACTAATTGAAAACATACATTCATTATAGTAAAATTAATAACTATAAAAAATTATTTTGTGTTTTTTTAATTGATAAATTATTTATTTCAAATTCATACAATTATGTAGTTTAGAATATGAAAATATTTTGTAGTTGGAGTTACTATGAAAATGAATACTGTAAAACAATTTCATTCTAATTGTGTCTGCCTATTTTTTTCCTTTAAATTTTTCCATTAATCAACTTTCTAGTGGCAAATCACTGTTCTTACTGTAAAAATAGAGTATATATCTTTTAAGATTAAAATACTATATATTATTTGGAATGTTTCTGAAAGTCCATTTCTTTGACTTAAACACAAAA